AGTGAACTGGGATATTATATTTTTAAAAAAAACCTGGGATATTCCAATACAAATGCTATGAAGCCAACATAGGCGCATAACAAACTAGTCAGTGAACTGCCGGTTTAGCTGCCACTTGGGCAACATTCATCAAATTATCCTATTCTTTCTAAAATAAGTCAAGACTGTACTTGAGGAGGGTTTGCAATGTAGACTTAATTCACTATTGGCCACATTTCACTTAAATATGCGGTGAACCCCGAAATCATTAAATGTTATTAAGCAAAAAATAAACATATTTGCTTTTTTTAAAATAACATTTGGACAGTGAATACAGAAAATTATGTTTGAGCAAAATGGGAAAGAAGTATTGGATTTTACAAATTTTGTTGTGGCCATTATGTAGATTTTGGTGAAAGAAACATGCAGGCAAAAATTTAGGAAAATCAGCCGTAAACATTAAAAATACATAGGGGTTTCTCCTACCTTCTTAGCTATGAGACAAAGCCATAATGCGGTTAAGATTTAAATAGGAGTGTTTTTTCCCTTGTGTAAAGGGGGGGGGGCAATGTTAATATCTGAAAATCATTTGGGGCCAAGTTTGAAAAAAAAATATACCGTTTATGAAAAGAAAAATAATTAAAACTATGTTTTCTCGTTTTTATTACGCAAAAATGGCCGCCATTTTGGATTTTGTCGAAATCGTAAAATAGCCCGAATGTGAACTTTTGCTCACATGCTTATCTATCGCCAGTCACATTCTGAGCCAAATTTCGGTTCAAACGGTCGATTAATGTTGAATTTATTCAAAAGTTCATAGTTAATATGTTTTTTTGGGGGGGGAAAATGGCGGCCATTTTGGATTTTGACCTAAAAATGCATTTTCGCCGGGTTAAATTTTAATCCACCGTCCAGATTCTGAATCAGCAGGTCTTACTGCGTAAAAAAATGTAAAAATTTTGTGGGGAGGGAATTGTGTAGGGTTAACTCATTTTTAGGGGTCTGGATCCCAGACTATAAAAAAAAAAGCCCATTTGGGCTCTTTTGCCAGCCCAACTGTTGAGTCTCATATGACATCATCCAAAATCAAAAATGTGCTTCCGTCAACAAGTTGTCATATGTACAAAACACTAGTAAACACTTAATAATTTGATTGGTTCATCAAACAGCCGTTACATGCGACTCAAAAGTAAATATGAAACAGTCGTAAAACCAGACACACACAATAGGCACTTCCTGTTTCGACCAGAAGGAAGGGTCTTGTGATTTTGCACTTAATACCAAAAATGAAGACCCTGCAATATTGTATCGATTGCCATACAAAACAACAACAAAGCTTTAAAAACAGTTGATTTTATATTGATTTTCAAAGATGAAATCTAGAAATCTTTGGTTGCTTGTATTATGATACTTGATGACGTCATCATGACGGCATTGCCAGAAAGCTCAAGATCCATGTTAAATGTGCTATTTATAGCCAAACCTTCATTACATCTGTCAGGGTTGATTTTCAGCAATTTGTTTAAGTTGAAAGGGTCTTTTTATTATAACTTTTGGTCTGATGACTTCATCAAGTTTTTTTGCGCTCAGGTGTTGTCTGCATTAAGGTCATCATATATACGAATTGGAAGCAATAACCGCAAATTTCGCCACACACATCAACTGAAAATGTGTTTTTGACATTTGTAACCTGTCGCTAGAGGGCGCTCGAACATCTCATAATCGATAATGTTTTGGTGAATTTCAACATTGGCAGAGACTAACATTGTTGAAAGCAAGTTCACGTCTTTTTACAATTTTAAATTATTATGCACTTCCGGTTTCGACCAGAAGGACGTGTCACATGATTTGATGCGCACAAGATAAAATGAAGATAATGTATTATCATATTAATTCCATTAAATTCAAGTTCCGGCCTCTCATGGTTGATTTTATATTGAATTTCAGTGATTAAATCTAGAAATCTTTAATTGCTTGTAATTTGATACTTGATGACGTTGTCATGACGTTATAACAAAAAAGTACATCTTAAGTGGGCTGTGCATTCATGTATTGACAATTAAAGTTCATAGGTTTTTATTTTGACAAACAGTTCTGGAGAAGAATTTGTCTTGAAGAATAACAAAAACAAACTAGAGGTCTATGTCTGTTTCCAACAGAATATACGGCTTTTTCCGCATTATGTTTTTTTTTTAAACTGAGGTCATGTTTTTCTGTTTTGTGCAAAACTGTGTGCATTTACCTTTTGTCTAACAAACCTAATCCAAAAAGAATTTTAATTTTGGAATATTGCGTTTGTGAGATACGACAAAAGTCTTAAAAATTTTAAAATATATATATATAGCCAATGTATATAAAATCACAAGATGACGTCATGATGATGTCACGTCAATATTTATTTGTAACACATCCCAGCGTACCCCCATACCAAGTTTCAACCAAATCTGACTGTTCATGAGATATATAAGAACTTAAAATATACAAGTTAACAATGACGCCTTATGTCTAATGATGACGTCATCGTAACAATACTTGGCAGTGCTCATTATTTTAGTGTGGTTTTAGTCTGTACCAAGTTTGTAAACAATCGGATTGATAAAGTGTTAAATTTTGTAAGCAGAAAAAAATTGGCAATATTAAAAAAATCGTAAAAAAATCTACCGATGACGTCATTATGACGTCATTCAAGATTTTGTGTACTAGTATTATTATCTACCCACCCACCAAGTCTAATGACGATCAGACGTTCCCTTATATGTTTCAAAAAAGCGCATTTATGATGACGTCATCATGACGTCAGACATTTTTCAAAATGTTGTACATATCCCTGTTACCTAAAAAACCTAATACAAAAAGAATTTTGAATTTAACATATTGGGTTCGTGAGATATGGCTTAAAGATCCAAAGCTTCAAAAAATCTATATAAAATCACACAATGACGTCATGATGACGTCACCTCAATTTTCGTCTATAACACATCCCGGTCTACCTACCGAGTTTCAACCCAATTGGACTTACGGTTCTCTAGATATAGGGTCTTAAAGTTTGCACATTTAAGATGACGTCACGTGACCCATGATGACGTCATCGTTATGTCACTCTTTGGGACACAATGTCACTATGGGGTCTTTACATGGGACAAGTTTCATTAGAATACGAGTTTGTTTTAGGTCCAAAATGCCGCAGTGAATAAACGTGTACAAAGTCTATGGGATTTGGGGTAGGAACAAAAGGTAAAAAAAAGAAGAAAAAAAAATCAGAACAAGAACAATGCTTTTCCGCTTTTAAGTGGAAAAGCAATTAGTAAATTCGTACAATAGCAATAGGTGCCCAATAGCAATAGCCCAACACCTAATTATAGACAGTCAAAATTGGGAAGTGTTAATTGTTAAAGGCAATATACAACATTTGCAAATCTAAAAATTAATGTGGCCTGACGTTGCAAACTTAGCAAGTTCTTCTTCAGAGGCTAAAACAGAAATGACAGAGGTACCTACATTAACATGGGGGTGTACTCAAATATGCAGGGCTGAAAGAAGAAACACAAAAGGAGGATTAGGTGGGAAAGGTGTGGAAAGATGCAGGGGCCACTCTTCTGTCACTACCCACAGAACCATTGGTAACATCACTTGTAACACCTCTAATGTCATATATCTCATTTCTTGCAGGGTCTGTGGAGTGCAGTATGTAGGTGAGACTAAGAATACGCTCAAGAAGCGTTTCTATGCCCACCGGTCAACGGTCAACACCAAGAAACTAGACACCCCTGTTGGTCATCACTTCAACCTGCCTAACCACTTCATTTCTTATATGATTTTGCAGGGCATTGAATCTCTTGGCCATCGCAAGGACTCAATTCGCCTCAGCAGAGAGAAAGTGTGGATGAATCGTCTTCGAACTATTCAACCACATGGTCTCAACATCCAACTTGGAAATGATTAATCCTTTTCTTCCTCCATTGTCTTCTGTTACAGATAATCCTCCTGGTCTTCCTTGTTTGTGTTTACCCATCTTCCCCCACCTTTCATCCCTTTCCACCTCCATACTGTTCCCACCCCCCCCCCCCCCCCCCCCCCCCCCCGCATCATCCCCTTCACTCTCACACTCTTTTGTCCGTTCCCACTCCATGTGACCTTTGATCCTTCCCCTTTCTGGTCCCTCCCCTGTCTATACCAGACCCCTTGTGGTTTGCCATCTCCCTTTGTTTCTTTGTTCTCTCATCCACCCTCCCCTGCATCTTTCCACACCTTTCCCAACTAATCCTCCTTTTGTGTTTCTTCTTTCAGCCCTGCATGTTTGTGTACACCCCCATGTTAATGTATGTACCTCTGTCATTTCTGTTTTAGCCTCTGAAGAAGAACTTGCTTAGTTCGCAACGTCAGGCCACATTAATTTTTAGATTTATATATTTCAGGTCCATCCAGTCAGTAAGCAGTTTGCAGTAGTCTTACTTTTTTTCATTTTTAACATTGGCAAATGTTAAAAAATACACACCAAATCATTGTGAAATAACCTTACTGGACTGTTAGTGAATGACAGTCTGAAGCATCCAGTTAAATCATGGCACCAGGTGTGCTGTCATTTTCACGAAAGGTGACATTTTTGTATCAATTTCAAATGATGGTCAGTCGACCAGTGTTGGATAAAAGTGGCTTTTTTTCAAATACTGCCTCCAATTAACCAAATTTAGTCCACATTTTGTCTACCATCAGTTTTGTATTTGTTTTGTATTTGTATGTGCCAGCTAGACCGGTTCCCTAACTTTACAATTTTCCTGCGTCCACAAGACAACTTTTACAAGAACATAAGTTTTGTTCTTGGTTTTTCTAGCATCTACGAACACAAAACTTTAAACAGGTCAGTGTAACAATATTTGCTGTAAGAATACTAACCCCAAAATCCATGAATTTCTGAAAATTACAGCAAAAGTAAATGTTGTATCTTCCCTAAATACAGCATCTGCTAGTTTTTGTTTGTACTCATTAAAACCCTTTTAATGTTGTCATTTTGTTCCTTCAAGGCTAATGACAATGCATTTGTCACATGATCACACAACGTCACGCAGTGGATTGCAAGGGAGACCACCAGAAATGGTAAGTTTGCTCTTGAGAAAACCTTCAATGTATTCCGAAGGACTATGAAATCAAACTTAAATGTTTGGGTATTGTGGTAGTAGACTAAGGACTTTGTGCCTGGATGATATGATATATACACACTTTCAAGGCAATTCTTAGCTTTGTTGCAAAAGGTCCAAATACCTTTTCTATTGCACTTGTCTCACCCGTACAGAATTACTACATATGCATTATTCCCTTGAGGGTGTTAACCATTTGCTAAGATTTAATTACCACAGTACAGGGTTCTCCCTAGGATTTTTTCAAACCTGTGGGGGAAGTTTTGTTGTGATTCACCAACCTGCGAAGCCACGGCGTGGGGTTCGGGCCCGCTTAAGGGCCCCGAAAAATTTTGAACTTTAGAGGCTCTCTGGTGCATTTTAGAGCAAATCTGGGGAGTCTTTAAGGAATATTTTTCCTTAAAATTTAGAGGAGATCTTGTGATATTTTTTGTAATTAGAGAAAAAAAAATCAACGTTTTTAACTTAAAAAAAAAAATCAACATTTCAAAACCTGTGTTAAACCTTCTTGATCTAGAAAGTATGGATTATATTTACAAGCAAGTTTCAAATTAAGAAATTAAGGTGAAGAAAAAAATCACTTTTGCTTCCGACTACATGGCTTTCAAAATAGCGTCGGTAGGTCGGAAAAATTATTTCGCCATTTTTTTGGGCTGCTGATTGAATCATGGAGGAATAAAAACACATGATTGAATGGAGCATATTGAACAAGGAATCATGTAGTTTTGTGCATGGATTATTTTCCTTTGCACCACGAAAATTATCAAGACTGACCATCAGAAGTGATTAAAACTTGCCTCACCTAATTAAAAATATATTTGAGGAGGTTGATTCCACTATGCTTAACGTACATCGATCACGGCCCCTGGCACTGCCAACATTCAGTCTGGCCGGCCGTGCATCGCGCAGTATCAGTGTGAATTACTGCACTGTGTACGGCCCTACTGCTTCTAAGAAGCACGCTACGATGTTTCGCCACAAGTTTGAGCTTTGCAATCTCGTCATTTTAATGGAAAATACATACACAGAAAATAAAGATCACGTTCTGTGAATTAATTTGCAGAAATTCTCTTTCTCCATCGATGTTTGTTTGGTGTTTTTACGATCCAACTTCGGCCGACATCATCATCATGTATGCACGCACGAGGCAGTAGTCACTGGTTCCGGTCCTTCATCATAGCATTGATACTGTTAGCACGCGAAGGGAACCAGTGTACCGTGCTGTATGCGCTAATATATAGCTGGCGGTTGACGCGAAAGACCCGTCATCGTGTGCATTTTGATCACGCATGCATCAGAAATGCGGGATTTTTGTCAAGATTTTGCATGTCAAGATGAAATAATGGTGTATGAAACGATTATGTTGTGCATTTTAATGGCTTGTATAATAATTATATTGTGCGTATCGGGGGCTGAAAAATGTGATCGGCATTTTTGTCGGCGTGTCGGGCCGCAATTCCAGCGTATCGGGCCGATACGCACGTTTGTACGTGGGGAGAACCCTGACAGTACCTTGCTAGCCATTAATTTTTGGTCAGATTTTATTTCCCACAGTATAATGGTGGGCAGGCCGCCCACCATTATACTCCCAATTTCTCTCAGCCTGCACTACAGGAAAAATATGTGTTTTTCTCTGCTAAGTTCTACTAATAAAACTACCATCTGTTTGTTTCCCCAATTTGCTGAGTTTTGGTTGGTTGTCAGTACTTACGGCTCTAGCTGAGTGAGGTTTTGCCCAGACTGCAAATTGCAGACTTCCGTTACGTGGCTATTTACCCAGCCGTTTGCATGAGGCTTTGCACAGGCTGCAAGTAACTCACGCCATACCGAACAAGTGGGGATTGGCATTTGCTGCAGGCTGCTAGCACCCAAACACAACTATAACATGGCTATGAGAAAGTGACTTGTGCCGTACCGAGCGAGTGACACTTTGCACTGGCTGCAAATTGATCACTCCTTATGTTAGAATTTACCTGTCCGCTAGTGTGACACTTCGCATGGGTTGCAAGTAGATCACGCACAAGTTCGCATTGACTGCATGTTGCTAACGTATGGAGGACCAAAAGTGGACAACTCATTTTCTCAAAAATCTGCTAGAACAAAAACAGAATTATGGTTGAAATGGAGTCCTCTTTCTGAATTTTCATTTTTCCGTTATCAACGAATAAGATTTGGATTTTTATTTTTGTTGTACAAAGGTGGTCAAGAAGTGTACAAACTGTGAATTTCTACTAGCAGAAAACTGGAATTACGTTAACGACTAAACCAAAATTTCGAATTTATCCTAGTAGAATATATGGAACTAGAGGTTCGCGTTTGTTGTTACAAATGCAGAGTGGTCGGGTAGACAACCATTTCATTAGACATTGTCCAGTTAAGTTATGAGTATGTTTATGTCAGAAAAAAAAAGGACCAAGAACTTCAACATTTCCAGTACCAATTATTTTGTACAAAAAGAATGCGTCTTTTAAGGTATGATAAATTTCAGTAAACAGTTGGGTACACGTACAAGTTATTTCCGGTTTGATGGCGTCATCAGTCAAAACAGGGAAGGGAGGACACTTGTTTATCATTAAGTAAAAATAACGCATGGAAATATGGAAATTAAGTGTATGTAATAAAAACAGCTAACTTCCAGTTTGATGACGTCACAGTATTTGGAAGCAAAAGGTCAATATTAAGTGTAGCAGATGTCATTTTGGGGGGGCAAAAAACAAACTCATGTGATAGGGATCAAATGATGGATTGAAATTAAAAAATAAAATGGTCATTGTTGAATTCTCCCTACAGTAACTTCCGGTCTGATGAAGTCATGATTATGAAACCGTACAAATTCATTTGTGGTTACTCACGGGATAGATAAGGGCAATATATCATACAAATTTGATTGAGGGCTTTAACATTAAAAACAAATTCAACTGTTTTCTATGTGCTGCTGGAGGGCGCCCTTTTGTGGATGATGTCAAAATAATGTTTTTGTGATTGGCATTCCTCCATAATGTGTCTACATCACTCTACTTACCTGTAGAGCGAATACTACATATGCATTGTTCCCTATGCCGGCAGGCAATTTGCTAAGAGTTTTACATACAATAGCGCCCTCACGTGTCCTACCCACGACGCCCTGTGACATGCGCACCACGTTAGCGTCCTCTTTTTCTCTTAGCCGCAGGACGAGGTACACGTGAAATTTCAACGACCTGAATTTCGCTATTTTATTGGTACCTCTTTTGCTTAGAGAAAGCTATTTCGAAAAGAAAGTATTGTAGAGTTGTTCTAGTGAAGTATTGTAGAGTTGTTCTAGTGAAGGATTTGAGTGAAAGTGAAAGAAATGAGTAATAGGAAGTTGGGGAGGACCGGGTATGTCGATAATGGAGGGACGTACATCCCACCAGACAAGCCCGAGTTCTCGGGGGACTGCACCGGTGATGGTACGTCACCGCGGCAGCAGTCCCCTAGTCGGCCCCTTCAGCCACTGCCGGCTGTCGGAGCTGACGGACCCGTTGACCAAGCGGGGGGCCGTACAACCCCACCGTCTTCGGTCAATGTTCGCGGGTCCGCCCAACTGAAGGGGAAACGCACCGGCAAGACAAAGAAATTGTCTAACGCCGGGGCAATACCCAAAAAGGGACGTACGGCAAAAGGTGGCCCCGCTACGGGGCGCACCGTGCCTGTCCCTGGCCCGTCTACGGGGCACACGCAGCCGGAGGAAGTACTCCTCCATGGCTCAGTGCACCCAGGCCCACCCAGCCCCGTGATTACCACGATGCCTGGGGATGGGCTGTTATATGGCCGGTTGATTGACCGTACAGCACCCGCCTATGTTACCGGCGTGGGGGCGCTGTCGGCCACCCGGGCTATTGATAGCGTAGAACCGAATCCCTGGGATTCCCCCAGAGATTTAACGCTACGCTCGGAGGGCCCTGCCTCCACATCGGATTTCATTCGTTGTTCGGGCATCCCCGTGTCCCCGCAATCCTCGGCAACTACTCGGAGTCGCTCCTCAAAGAAGAAAAAATCAAAAAAGAGCCGCCGTTCCCGCCGTTCTTCGACGAGTTCCAGCGAGTCATCCGGCCGATCGCACCGTGGGAAACGCCACAAGGGTGGCGACCCGATCTCACGCGATGATTTTTTGGAGGCCTTTCACTCCCTCGCGGCCTCATTGTCGGGCCGACAGGGAGATTACGGTCACAGTTGGCCGACTCCGGGCCAAAGGGACATACCGCACACGGTTAGCCGTGCGCCGGAGTCCCCTCCAGAATTACAGCCCCCACATGCCGGTCATCACGGCCGTGGTGGGGTGACTACAGACCAGCGGACAATGCCGTGCACGGAGGGCCGTGCACCGGCGTCCCCGCCCGGTATTAGTCTACACCCATCGGCGTCACTGGACTCTGAGCGGGGCTCGATACCGGGACGCCGTGACGGCGCTGCTTCGCCCCCGGGGCCTGGTTCCCATTCCCCGGTGGCAACTCGCCCCCCGGACTCTGACAATTTGGCGGACGAGAGCGAACTGACCCGCACCATGCAACGCCTATCGGTGGCTGAGACCGAACTCCGCTTGGTCCAACGGGATATGATCAGAGTTCTAAATCTTCCTGCTGGTACCGAACCTCCTCCTCCTCCTGAGCGTCAGTCGTTCAAGAAGCGATCGGGACCGACGGCAGAACCGGTCCGGGCTTTTCCCACAATGCCCTTGGACCGCGTGTGCGTTGACCACATCGACGGTATAATGCACGCAAAGACTTGGAGTGCCTACGCTAAACGCGTAGACTCATATTATCATTTCCCCCAGGGAGATTTTGAGAAATATTTCTCAACTCCGGTCCTGCCGGACTCGGCCATTGACAAGCTCGCCGCTGACCGAGGGACAGCTTCATCCAAGGTTCCTTTTACAGACAAGACCCGTGGAAAGCTGGAAGATGTCACCCGCAGAATGGACTCGGCGGCACGCATGGGTATGCGTGCGACGTCCTTTCTTCTTCTCCTGTCAGAGTACCTGGCACTGGGATATGAAGAAGATTCGGTGATACCAGCCGACATGATGGTGGCTGCTCTCCATTGCCTCGATCGCGGCCTGTGCTCCACTCTCGACCAGTTTGCTAGAGTGTCGACCTTAGCAACATCGTCACGCCGCGCCAATGTGCTAGATGCGCTTTTCCTCCCTTCACCGGGAGCACGAAAGCGTCTCGACGATCTCCCGCTCTCAGGCCCGGACTTATTTTCTGGTAAGTTCCAGGAGGCCATGGAGGCCGAAGCAAAGCGCCTCAAGGCCACGGAG